CCTCACCTTGGGCAGCTGAGGTGTGGGGCAGGGGCTGTCAAACAGGAGGCAGTTGAAGGCGCCGTAGATGCCGTCGCTGAGGTGATAGACGAGGCTCTTCTTGTTGGCAGGGTCCTCCGGAGAGGAGCAGGGAGAGGGCTCAGTGGGGCTCGGGCACTCGGTGGGGCTGGTCCCATCCCAGCCACCATCGGAGCCGGGATGCTCCATGGGGGCCTCCTTGCTGGCAGTGATGGTGGCAGCCAGGGTGAAGGCAGAGGTGACGTAGAATCGCCCGGGCTGTGCCATGATGTCCACACCGCAGCCGTCCGGGAAGTACGAGTCCAGGGCAGAGTTTATCACAGCAGCCATCTGGAGGTGATGGGAGCAAACCCAAACAGGGCAGGTTCAGGGTGGTGATGAGGAAGCTCTTCCCTGTGAGGGTGCTGAGGCACAGGGTGCCCGGAGGAGCTGTGGCTGCCCCATCCCTGGCAGTGCTCAAGGCCAGGTTGGACACAGGGGCTTGGAGCAAGCTGCTCCAGTAGAATGGGTCCTTGCCTATGGAGCTGGATGAGATTTGAGGTCCCTTCCAACCCAGACCATCCCATGACTCCATGATAAGATGTTCCCCCTGGGTTAGCTCAGCCCCTCTGCAGGAGCCAGACCCAGGCACCCTCCACTCTCTGCCTGCTGACCCGAGCCACGTACCTCTTTGAACCGGGCCGTGGTGTCCTCAGTGCCAGGGAATCCCCCTCCGATGTCCAGGAGGTGCATCCTGAAGCCCAGCTCCGTGCCCATGTCAAAGGCCACTTGTGCCGCAGCCACAGCCTGAGCGAAGGCCTGAGGCTCCAGGCCACGGCTCCCGAGGTGGAAGCTGGGGAACGGTCCCTGGTTCAGCAGGGGTTGTGCCCCCAGAGAGCAGGGAGGGGACACAGCGCTGGGACCATCGCTCCCTGCAGGCTCCCCACACACCATCCCAATGCTGAGTGTCTGACCGGCCCCTCAGAGCCCCCCTGAGGTCCAGACCTGCCCCAAACTGGTCCCAACAGGGGTCAACCTCCCCAGGTCCCTGCTTTCACCTCACTCCCCACCAGAGGCACTGGAGGCTCTGTCAACCTCCATGCGGTCCCTATAGATAAAGGACCACGCACTGTACCTGATGCCAACCACCTCCACAGCCTGCTCCTTCGCCATCTCCAGCAGGTGCCTGCAGGACTTGAGCGTGGTCCCAAAGGCCATACTCGGATGGGCAGAAGGGCTGGGATCAGCAGCGATACCCAACAACATCCTGCAGAGCAAAGCCACCCGGTGCTGAGGGGTTTCAGACCCACAGCCACCCCATAGCTCCCACACCAGCCCCCCCCTCCCAGTGCAGTGATGCTGCTGGGCACCCACCGAGCCCGAGGATGGCTCCGGGCCACCTTGCTCAGCTCCACCTCGTTGTCAAAGGCCATGAGCTGCACCCCGTGGCTCGCTGCATACTTGATGTGGGCAACCTGCTTGCAGGGGCTGCTGTAGAAGATCTTGTCAGGGGGGACTCCGATGCTCTGGACCCGTGCGATCTCTGCCTGCAGGGACACAACACACACGTCGGCACCGCGCTGAGCCCTGGGCCAGCATCACAGCCTGGGCTTTGGCAGGGAACAGCCATAAGAGCTCAAAGGGATCACGCTGGACCTTGTCCTCATAGGGGCAGGTTGCAGCAAGATGTTTATGAGTGGAATGAGACGAGGAGGGGAGGAAACGAGTGGGTTTAGCATGGGGTTGGTGCATGAGTCCCCTGTGAGCTGCAGCGAGGGTGACAGTGGCAGCGTTGGTCTGACCTGTCACAACCCTGCACTTTCCCCTCCTGGTACCGTTTAACTATGTACAAGTGTCTCAGTCTTTGGTCCCTCCCTGGAATCTGGCTATTGCAGGAGGGAGCAGGGAGCTTTAAAGCCATCAGGAGGTGGATGGTTGGGGCAGCAGCACCCCAGGGACCTGCCTTGCTGCCAGGCAGGGCACCAGTTCCAGAGGCAGGAATGAGGGTCAGAGGGAACAAGCATGAACATGGATTTCCAAGCTGTGTTGGGAGGAGGAACCTGCGCCCTGCCGCTCTCTCACACATCACAGAAGCAACCACGTTGGAAACGACCTTTACAATGGAGCCCTGCTATGAAATACCCAAAGGATGCTTCCCCCAAGCTGTCCTCCCACAGCCCTACCTTGTTGGTACAGGCAAAGCCTGTCCCCAGCTCCGCCAGCAGCCGAATCACTCCTTCACTGCCGTTGCACTTAACTGGGAAGAACGGCTTCACACGGGGCAGGGCCTTGAGGAACTGCAGGTGTTGCTTCACGACGTCCCCCAGGTCTGCCACGAAGAAGGCTTGCTGGGCACCCTGGGGGAAAGCTGCAGTGAGCAGCACTGGCCCCCCCCGTGCCAACCTCTGCCAAGGGAGCAGCGAGCATCGGCCCTCACCGCCTGGCACGGCTCCACGAGGAGGTTCTCCAGCAGGTCTCTGGTGGTGAAGCCCTCCTCCACCATCATGAAGTTGGACTCATTCAGGTACCCGTTCATGGCTGAGGTGAGTTTGAGGCCTTCTCGAGTAGGGTTTAGCTTCTAAGTATGCAACGCAGTGGGAAAACAAGGAAAGGGATGCGAATAGCAAGGTCCAGAAGCTCCACCAGTGTACACCAGTACACTCTGAGCCCCCACCTTGCAGCTCAGCACCAACCCAAAGCAAGTTTAGCACCAAGGCCAAATTCACTGCAAAGCAGATGGCCTATAGATGCCAGGACACATCCCATCACGCTCTTGAATGTAGCTGGATCTGCTGTACATTGCATGGGGTGAAGATCCCTTGTGGTTTCCCTGTCTCATGGACCCAGGCACACAGCCCCATGGAAAGAGGCACCCTGACAGAGCACAGCACAGGCCACTCGCTGAGGATGGTCTGGATCCCTGCTGTGGTCCCAGTTTCATTTCCCTCCCATGATACTGGGTGTGCAGCTAGGGGACAAGTTAAGCTGCAGGGTGTTTCCTGGCTCGCACACTGAGCTTTAAGCTCACACACTTGGCTCCCCTGGATCCAGTCCATCCCATAACCCAGGGAGCTGACGACCCAGCGCAAGCTCACATGGAACATCCCCACTCCAGGTCCAGCTCCAGGGCTTTTAGGGGTCTCCCTGACCTGTAGTGAGTGAGAGGCAGAGGTTTCACACCTCAGAGCTGCACCTCTTCCCCTGCAGAGACCTTACAGCACTCTGGAGGGGCACTAGGGAAGGCCCACGCTGACCCGGAGTAGCCGCATGGTGCCATGCATTGAGCAAGCACTGCCAGTGAATTCCAGAGATGGGGAATGGGGTGAAAAAAATGGGGTTTGAGGCTCTTAAAGCTTCGTACTTGGGAAAGGAGAGTGACTCCTCCAGCCTTGCCCTTCACTGCCCATCCCCAACCAGCCCTTCACCCCCCCCGGCTGGCACAGAAATGATGTCATTTAAGTGGGTCATTCCTGCCAGCCCATGCCACAGACAGACATTCCCTCCTTACCAGGGTCTGATGCCTCCTTCCCAAGGTCTTATCCCTCCTTCCCAAGGTCTGATGCCTCCTTCCCAGTGCCTAGGCACAATGCCAGGGGGGGTCCCCAAGGAACGCCGAGCTCCCGCTGCACCCCGAGGCGCTGCTGTTGCTGGGGGTCCGAGGTCTCTGGGCAGAAGCAGTGCGAGGGGTTGGTGAGGGGCACTGAGCCATCATTCCCAACAGTCAGCAAGCACAGGCATCCCTCCCGGCTGTGCTTCCCGGCAGCCCCGCGTCGTCCTCCCGCACTTACCTTAGAAAGCATTTAAACAGGTTTTGCCCATGGGTCTCGCAGGAGAATGGAGTGGCCCCAGCGGTGCCTCTTGTCCTGCCCCAACTCTCCGCCTGCCCCGGGCCCCCAGACCCTGTGTTTGGAGGGCCCTGCACCCGTTGTATGCCAGCACCCCCCTCCTAGCTCTGCCTCCCAACCATAGCCATGGCAACCAAATCCAGCCACCCCATTGGCTGAGCTGCCTCGGAGCATCCTTCATCCCTTCTGAGGAATGCTCCACCCCTCGCCCACCTTATCCAGGGCTGGGGCTGCCCCCAGCAGACACCCCGATCCCCACCGAGCCCCCTTCCCGCACCGGCAGCTCACCCCCAGCCCTCCTGCAGCCAGTCACTGTGTGCACAAGGACCATGGAGGGGAAGAGAGCCCAAAATACCTCTGAGATACTGCTGCCAGGGGAAGGAGGCTTCCTGCAGATGAAACCCCGTCTGACTGGGACACTGACTGGGAGGGACTGGATCAGGAAGCCCACAGGGACTGATTGTGCCCTGGTGCTGCTGCTGCCAGATTCGGTGGGCTCCCCAGCAGCGGATCCCATCCACGCACATGCCCCGTTTGGTCCCTCAGTCCTGTCTTTTGGCTGCATTTGCGCACTTGGGAATCGGTTCCACTGCTCCATCCCGCAAACACTGCAGGCTGAGCAGGGCATTTCTTTCTTGTCTCATTTACAGCTCCCTCTCTGGTGTCACTGAGGAGACAATGCTCTCTCTCAGCTGCCCCTGCAGAGGAGGTGAAAGGGAACCACTTATCCTGGATACTCAACGCTGTGGTCTTGGCTTTGCCATGAGCTCTCCTGGCAACCAGGGCCAAGGGAGCTCTTGTCTCCTGTAGGATCCTGGCTCTGACCGCAGCCAGAGCCGCGCAGGACGGGGGGAGCGGCGCAGAGAGCAGGGCACCGTGCTGCGGAGCCCAGCAGTGTGCGGGCTGTGCCGTGACACACGGCCAGCACTGCCTGCAGCGCCAGGAGCACACCGAGCCCGCGGCCAGCGCGACCCGGGCCGGCGCGGCGCGCTCCCGCCACGCAGTGCCGCTCAACCCCGCCCACTTGCAGTGAAACCCCGCCCACTTGCAGCGAGACCACGCCCATTTCCCCCTTGCAAGCCCTCCCCTTCGCCGCTAAACCACGCCCATAGGCTACGAAGCCCGCCCATGAGTCACGCGGCTCCCGGCGTCCCCGCCCATTGGCCGCGGGGCGGGGCTGGCGCGCAGTCGGCGGCGGCCATGGCTCCGAGCGCGCAGCCGGGCGATAGCCGCGGGCAGGCCTCGGGTCCGGGGCTCCGCCGGGGCATCCGCGCGGTGCTGCTGGGCCCGCCCGGCGCGGGGAAGGGCACTCAGGTGAGGGGACACCGGGGGGCGGGCGGTGCTAACCGGAGCGGCGGCGGGACCGGCCCGCTCGGCTCTGGGGTGACGCCGGTGTCCGGCTTCGCTTCCCTTCGCCGAGGCAGCGGGGCGGGCGGCCTGCCCTGACCCGACCCGGGGGCTCCGTACCTCTTTCCGCTGCCGGCTCAGCCCTACGCCTGTACCCGTGCACTGGGGCTCTTTGTCCCGGTCCATTCTCTACGGGTGGCAGCGGGGACCCGGTATCCGGGCCCCGAAACCGGCGCTCTCCGCGGGCCCTGCCACGTGTTTGCCGGGCGCAGAGCGGCAACAAGGCCGCGCTGGGGCTCCGTCCTGTGGCTGGGCCTCAGCCCCTCGGAGCCCTCCCGCTGAGCACCCCCCGGTGTGTCTGTGTCCTCCCGCAGGCCCCGAAGCTGGCAGAGACCTACTGCGTGTGCCACCTAGCAACCGGCGACATGCTGCGGGCCATGGTGGCCTCGGGCTCCGACCTGGGCAAGCGCCTCAAGGAGACGATGGACGCCGGGAAGCTGGTGGGTACCGGGGGTGTGCTGGAATGGGAGCAGCCCAAAGCCACCTGGTAATTAGAAGCCTCGGTGACAAAGGGGAAGGAGGCAGATTGCAGGGCGGGGGTTTCCCTTCTCATTATCCTGCAGGAGTAAACACCCTCTCTAAACACCTCCCCTCCACAGTTGCTCCTTGCTTACCAGCAGCCTGTGTCCCTCTTTGTGCTAGGGTGGGGTGCAAGGGGTTCCCTAGTTCCTCAGCACTGTGGTGAAGCTTTATCCTTGAAGTTGCAGGCTGTTACAGTCAGGCTTTGTAGCTCTGGTCTCACTTCACATCGTACCTGGGCTCCTCTGGGCTGGATGACCTTGTTCAGAGGGTCCCAGCTCTGCATGAAGGCCATTTGTCTGTAATTGTAAGGCAAAAATAGATGCAGGGGTGTTGCTGAGCTAGTTACAGTGGGCACTGGGTAATGCCGTGCAAGAGAGATGCTTTGGATCCCCAGGGGACAAGAGCTGGGGCCTCTGACACACTGCTTTTCCAAGGGTCTTGCCAAAGTGACTGAAATACCTCATTAGGGACAGCAAATTGCAGTGATTTGCCCCAAAACAAAGGGGTATGGGGCAGATCTGGGCGCTGCTGCTGGCTCATGGGCTCACAGCCCCCCACAGAGACTTTGCAGGCCACAGGTTGGGAGGACAAAGTGGCGTAGCTCCAGCTTTCACTCCAGGCTTGCATTGCAACACCGAGCCTGCAATAGCCCAGCTGGTTATGAAAGATAGGGCTGTTATCTGCACTGCTGGTGCTATCTGCCACGTGTGTGTGGGGCAGCTCCACAGGGCTGCTGTGCAGGTACGGCCCAGCACCATGCTCTGGCTCTGTGATAACATGGCTGGGCCACAGCATGGCCTCAGGATGGGGCTTTGGGCTCGATGGGGAAGCAGAACCCCTGCCTCTGAAGGCAGTAATCAGGAACACACAGAAGGGGCTTGGTCCTTCCCCCAGGCTCCCCCCCACCCCAGCGCTTCCCATCCCAGGGTGCTTGTTTGTGTGTTGGCACAGCCTGGTCCCTGATCCTGCTGGGTCCCAGCTGCGGGTGTTGGGAGAAAACAGCTCTGCTCCTGTATAAACAGCTATTGTTGGGGCTGCTGTGCCTGTTAGTGCCTCCCAAAGGGCGCTAATCCTGCCGGTATGTGGGAAAAACCAGGCTGCCAGGGCAGAGCTTGTCAGCCATTGAAGGCATTTACCTTCACACCAGGTTTATGAGTCAATGAGCAACTGCTTCACCCTTCCTGGCTTCCGCAGGGCCCTGTGGGTGAAGGTACAAAGTAGCAGGAAGTAGAGGTTATGTTGTGACCTCCCTCATCTCCAGTTTGCCTTCAGGCTGCTGGTGTCCCTTGACACCCAGCAACCTTTGGAACAGAGATGTGGTAGCACTGGTCCAAGTCCCTGGTGTGGAATGTGGTGGTGGCTGCATGGTGGTGGGTGACACCCATGGCAGGGAATGCTTCAGGTCTGAACACGCAGCTTCCACCCTGTTAGCTCCTGTCTTGTGGCACCAGGGATGCTTGTTCAAACAGCCTGGTGTGAGTAGAGCAGCTCTGGACGTGCTGTGTGTAAAATCGGGGTGACCTAAAATCACTTGGGGTGAAAAAAGACCTTTAAGATCCCTCCTGTGCCCCCTTCCCAGGTGAGTGATGAGATGGTGGTGGAGCTGATCGAGAACAACCTGGACTCCCCTCCCTGCAAGAACGGCTTCCTCCTGGACGGCTTCCCGCGCACGGTGAAGCAGGCGGAAATGGTACGTGTGAGCATCTCCTCCCTCCCTGGACACCGGCTCCTCTGCCGCTGGCCTGCTGAGCTGGGTGCTTTCTGTTGCAGCTGGATGAGCTCCTGGACAAGAGGAGAGAGAAGCTGGACTCAGTCATCGAGTTCAGCATTCCTGACTCCTTGCTGATCCGGAGAATCACCGGACGGTAAATCCTTTTCTCCCACTCGGGATGTGGGGATTCCTGCTCTGTGTGGTGACCCAGGGCAGCCTTTAGGCTGTGCTCTTGCTCTTCTGGAGGTGTTGCTGCTCCTTTACACAGGAGAAGGCTCCAGCGAGCCCTTAAAACAGTCTTCCAGTATCTAAAGGGGGCTTACAGGAAATCTGGAGAGGGGCCTGTAGGGACAGACCAAGGGGAATGGCTTGAACCTGCCCGAGGGGAGACTGAGCTGAGCTCTTAGGCAGAAGCTCTTCCCTGTGAGGGTGCTGAGGCGCTGGCACAGGGTGCCCAGAGAAGCTGTGGCTGCCCCATCCCTGGCAGTGCTCAAGGCCAGGTTGGACACAGGGGCTTGGAGCAAGCTGCTCCAGTGGAAGGGGTCCCTGCCTGTGGCAGGGTTTGGAGCTGGAGGAGCTTTAAGGCCAAACCCCTCTGTGATTCTGTGTTTCTATATTTTAGCACTGCTGAGCATCCTGTCTGGGGTCAGTTGTGGTCCATGATGGCCCCTGTTTGCCTGGTGTCACCCTCTCATCTCCAGGAGCTGGCTCTCTTCCCCAGGAGAGCATAAAGTAAAAGCTCCATCTCTTAGCACAGCTGCTGGTTTTGTGCTCCTGAAGAGGCCCTTGGTACAGAAATAACCAGCAGGGCTTTTTTCTGAGCACAGAGAGGCTGATGGGGCTGCTCTTGCAGATGTTCAGATGCTGCTGAGTCTGAGGTTCAGGAGAGCTTGTCCTTTGCTGACTCTTGCTTTCTGTCTCAGGCTGATTCACCCAGCGAGCGGCCGCTCTTATCACGAGGAGTTCAGACCCCCGAAAGAGCACATGAAGGACGATGTATGTGAGCTCCCCAGGCTGCAGCTTCCCTTGCTTTGGGTTTAGCTGATGCTTTGCAGCATCCCTGGAAAAAACCTCATTGCTTTCCTTCTCTCCTGCCTCCTGCCCTGGCTTTCTGGGGAGCGTGGGGATCTGCCTGGGCAGCCTGAGGTGATGGCACGGGATGAGTGAAGGGAATGGCTGTTCCATGGAGCCATGCAGGACTCTGTCCATAGCTGAAGTTGCAGTGGGTTGTGACTCGTTTCCCTCCTGGGGAGCAACTGTAGCCTGCTCTTAAGGCTCCTTTGGCTGCTTTCAGCAAGCAGAGTGGTGTGTGGGGGAACGGCCACGATGCTGGATCCTCCTCTCTTCAGTGACTGCTCTGGGACTGCTTTGGCTGTGCTGGGTTCGCCCTGCAGACGCGGGCATCGCTCCTGCAGCTCAGGGCTGTGTCTGGAGGAGGGGAGCATGGGTTGTGAGAGCTGCAGAGCGAAGGGGGCAGTGTGCCAGGCTGCAGCCAGCTGGAGACTGTCCCCTTGCTTCTCCCAGGTCACTGGAGAGCCCCTGATCCGCCGCTCAGATGATAATGAAACAGCCCTGAGGACGCGCCTGAAGGCCTATCACACCCAGACCTCCCCCCTGGTGTCCTACTACAGCAAGCGTGGGATCCACACGGCCGTGGATGCCTCCCAGTCTCCTGACGTGGTGTTTGCCAGCATCCTGGCAGCCTTCTCAAAAGCGACATGTAAAGACCTGGTTATGTTCATTTAGGGCTCTGTCCCAGGACGGAGCTCTCTCGCTTTTCTCTCTGTCTCTCCACCTCTGTCTCTGGGGCCAGGGAGGGTGAAGAGCTGAGTAGAGTAGAAGAGGGGATGCGGCCCAAGGCAGGGCTGTGCTGATTCCCTATTAAAGGAGCTGTTAACGGTCTCTATCTCGGGATCTGTGTCTGCGGATGCCGGAGCTTTGGCCTCTAGAGGTCGCGGCGAGCCCGAGCATCCTCCGGCTCTAAAGGCTTTTGTTTCACTCTAGAAGGAGCTGAACTTCTGGCTGCTCCCCAGCAGGAGGTTGGGGAGCAGGCCTGGGTGCTGGGTAGGTGATGCTCTGTAGGCAATGACACACAGGGTTACTTTAGGAAGCAGTGAAGGGCTTTTGGTGTGTGTCATCTGGGGAGGGACAGTTTGAGTGCTGCTGCTCAGGGCTGGCTGAGAGCTTGTCCTGGTTCTGGGGGTGTTATTCTCTGTGGGGCAGGTTTACCTGAGAGCTCAGCCCATCTTCCTCCCATTCTGCTGGGGTTTTAGGGCAGGAGAGGGGGGGTAAGAGCTGGGGAGGTTTCAGCCTCTCCTCTGTGGGCCCTAATCTGGCAAATATTAGTGAGGTGCTTTCTGCTTTAGAAGTCTTTAGAGCCTAACAGTCAGTGTGGTGATCTGAGGACAAGAAAAGGACATGGGCTTTATCTCTTCACTCTTGCCTTGGCTTTGGCCAAGGAGATGAAGATGTGTTGAGCTGCTCCTGATCCCACAGCCTAAATAAAGCCTTATTGCCAAACAGATGCTTTCTCAAGGCCTGAGACAGCGTTATTAACCACTGGCTTCATGTGCCCTTGAGCCAGCCATCTTCGTTGTGAGCTCATGGAAAAGTCTTTGTTCCTTGGGCACATCCTGCTGCTCCCTTAGGATACTGTGTGCGGTGTCCTAGTGCCATTATACTGCTCTGTGGTGACCCTGCAGGGCTGCCAGTGGCCTTTGCCCATGTAGGACTCCAGCCTGGCCTGGAGGACCCTGCTGTCAGTGCAGACTGACCCAGATGAGACTTTGGCCTTTAGCCTTCCATGTGTTATGGAGTGATTTGGTGGTGGAATCCCCTCCTGTTTGGAGGAGTTGAGCTGTCTCCCTCCCACACTGAGCCCTGGGGACTGTGTGTCTGCTCTGGATGCCTCATCCTCTGGAATCCCTTGCTTTTGGGAGCTTCTCTTTTTGTCTGAGAATCACTCTCTTCAGGCATCCTTTTCATGGAAACCCACCTCTTCCAGTAAACTGGGAATACCATGGGGAACTGAAAGCACTTGACTTATTGTTCTTGAAAGCACGTGGCTGCAGGGAGACAGGGGTTGGAAGTGAATGGTGCTGGTTTCCTCAGCAGCCCTCGGGGTCCACTGGGATCCCCTAGATGGGGAGAGAGAGAGAAAGGGCAGCCCTAGTATGTGGCATAGGACTGTGGGGCTCTAGGGGAACGCGTGTTAGAGCTGCCCTGGCGTCCCTGTGACTATAAAGAAGGTCTGAGTGGAAGCAGCTTTTAGCTGAAAGCATCTTGAGAGAGCTCCCTGCACGCTGCTGTGATCCAGGGAAGGCTTCCCAAGCAGTTGACATTCCTGGATCTGGCCATGGTTTTCCTCCACAGCAAGAACAATGTGTTCTTCACTCTTCTTTCCTCCCTTTGTGCTCACTCTGCATCCAGCTCGCAGCCTTTTCCTGCCTTAAACCGTGATTACTTTGGGGGTTTTCTTTATTTTTTTTCCCTAAATCTATGTTTTTGTTCCCATTTATTCCAGCTGAGTGACTCCACGAAGCAGATGAGACACCACCACACGCTGCACACTGCTACAACACCCATTGCAGCAGGGAAGGGGGGGTATGACTGATGGGAGGGGAGGGAAGGAGGTGGTAGACAAGGGGCTTGGGGGCTGATTTGGTTGGCTTTTGGTTGGATTCCTTATTCAGCACAATCCTTGTGAAGAGGAGATGGGCTTCTCCTTCAAATCACTGACTGGGGAGGGAAAACCATGGCACAGGGTGAAGCATCCCCAGCAAAGACCAGGTCCCTGGCCTGTGAGGAGGGGAGAGGTAGATGCTGTCCCAGGCTTCTCTCCTTGAGGCCACTGCTGTGATTTCCTATCAGCGAGGACCAAACTGAGCAAATGACTCATGGAAAGGCCAAGGGGAAAACAAAAGGTGCCAGGTCTTTTCCTGGAAGTTTTGTTCCTGTTCTGCTGCATTCCTGAGCCCTGGCACAGGGACTGCTCTGGGCTGAGCAGAGGGGCTGTGGCTCTGTGCCTGCCTTGGCAATGGGGTGGCTTCACTGTGACCAAGCTGGAATTCTCACAATGCTGGAGAAATGCAAAAGAGCCTTTTTTCTTCCTGGGATGATTGCAGAGCTAACACTGAGTGGGGCTGGTTTTGCATTTCTTTTGAGCTCAAATGGTGCCTTTGTCTAACCTCTGAATCAATAAAAACCCCTTTACATTTTTGTACCTGTTGCTGTGTCCTCTTTGCCCTGCAGGCTATGGGAGAGGAGCTGGATGCCACTGTAGGCAACTAACACTGGGCCTGATCCTTTCTTGAGGATGTTCTGTGCAGTTGGAACTGTGGCTTGGGATTCCTCTTCTTCCTCTCCCCTGTTGGATGTGTTCTAATGCTTTATCACCATAGCAGTGGTGTCTTCTGCTTCGCTCTCCTGTTTCATCAGGCATGGCACTGAAAGCACTGAGACCTCTCTGTATCCTGACCCTTTCTGGCCAAAGCTCTGTTCAGGGATGGAATTCCAAACCTTTTCTACCTTCCCTTCACACTGCCAGTGCATGCAGGAGCTGATGTCATTTCCTTCTCTCCTCCTGCAGCAACTGGAAGCCTCATGCTTTATCTTCTGCTTCTGCTCGGTTGCTTTCTGCCTTTTGTAGATTCTTGTGTCTCTTTGTTCCCCTCCACTGGTGCTTCTTGAAGTACCAAGGGTAAAATCTGCTCTGACACACAGAACAAGAGCAGTTCCTCGCCTCCCTTTACCCTGTTTCTGTGCTCTGAGGGGTTTAGCACCTCTCTACCTCCACTTAGCATTCCCTCCCTGTTGAAGGCAAGTTTGTGGTGTCCTTCCCTTGTTTCTTTCATTGATGGATGTTAAGCCAGGCTCTTCCTCATTGTTTGGGATTGTGTCCTCTACTGCTTGCCTGCTGCTGTTTAAAACCTGTTCTGCCTGCTCCTCCTGGCTTTCCAGTACGTGGGATGGAAGAGTCCTGGCTCCTCTGAGCTGGGCTGCTTCTGTCTGATCGTTACCTAAGTGTGGAGCATGGAATGAGCTGTGGGGAGGCTGTTTACCTCCAGCCTCCATCCTCTGTAGCTGCTCTGTGACCCATCTCTCTCATGCTGCCCTTGACTCTCCCTCCGCGCATGCTGCTCTGCAGGTGCTGCAGCTCCCTTCTGTTCCCCCATTCCGTTCCAGCAAGCTGCTTATCAGGCACTCATTTGAAAACTCTGCTCATGTTTCAGCCTCACAATTATTCAGCAGCTATAAAAGGGGAAAAATCCTATTTATAGCCCAAGGACCAGCATCAAATAGGACACTGAATTCTCGCTGATAGAGGAAGTGACCTGTTCTCTAATGCAGAGAGATTTCTGCTGAAAAGAAGCAGCCTCTTGGATGGGGGAGGGCTGAGAAGCTCTGGGCCATTGCTTCCCATTAAAAATGTGCTGCAGTCCTAAAAATACAGGATCTGCCCTTTTCCCCTCCTGCTGCTGGAGCCATCTGTGGCAATGGGAGCGCAGGAAAACCTTTGTGGGGAGTAAGAATGAGCCCAATGACTCCTGAGGGTCTGGTTTGGAGCTGGGCTTGTGTTTCTGCTCCATACCTGAGCTCTGACCTTGATTTCGGAAGGAGAAGTGACCCCGAAGGGCACCTGCTGTGGGCAAGCAGCACAGAGCCCCTGTCTGTACAGTTTGTATCATGGTGCACATGGGCATAGCCCTGAGATGGGAAGAGCAGAGGGGCTGAGGAGCAAAGAACTTGTGGAGAGCAGTGAATGGAAGGGGTGTAAAGGGGAAGGAGCACCAGGGACACGGGTGGGAATGGCTGTGGATGAGGTGAGTGCCTGTTCTGCCTGGGCCTGCTTCCCATGGCTGCCTCTGCCCTCCCTTCCAGGCAGGTTAAGCCACGATCTGTCCCTAGCCTTTGCCTGCCCCTGCTCCCTGTTGTCACCGTGTCCTTCCCCTGCTCCCCAGGCTCTTGAGGAAGAGCTGCAGTGGGTGATACCAAGCGAGGCGCCGGGAGGTGGAGGACCGGGGGCCGGGATTCCCCCTCCTGTCGCTGTGGCAACGGTGGGGAAGAAGGGAAGGGAAAGGAAGGGAAGCAGCAGCGGGGTGTGATGGGGCGGCTGCGGAGGCCGGGCCGGGCCGGGCTGACATCACACCGGGAGGTGGCGCAGGGGGAAGGCGAGTGGGAAAGGGAGAGCCGGGGAGAGACTGCGGAGGGAAGGAAGAGCTGCAGCGGGAGAGGTAAGGGATGCTCCGGGGGCAGCAGGGGGGGATCTGCTGGGATCGCATCCTGCCCTGGCTTCTTTCTGATGGCGCTCGGGCAGCAGCAGCGTTACACAATGCGCTGGCTGGGCGAATCCATCCCCCCAGTGTAGCAGTGTGTGTCCCTGATGCTGTGCGGGGTGGGCTGAAGGGAGTGGGAAGCAGCCCTGGTCCCTCTCTGCAGCAGGGGATCAAGGCGCTCGCTTGGAATCATTGGTTAAAGGAACGAGGAGCTTGCAGCCCCTGAGCTGCTGCACTGGGAGCCAGCCCAGCAGCGTGTGTTTGCAGTGGGGAGCCTGAGCTGCAGCTCTCCAGAGCTCTCAGCACTTACCCTGCCCTTGCAGGAGGCAGTGGCTGTGGGGAAGGCAGCCAGGGTGCACAGTTGGTGCTGGGAGCGCTCTGGATGCGGATCCGGGGGATCTGGAAGGCAAACCAAAGTGCTTGGATCCACTCTGGATGCTGTGTTGCCTTTTAGCGGTTGCATAACGGGATCTGGTCTGTGAGGGGAGAGAACAAGGGGTGACGGTCACCTCTGTGCCCTGCAGCATCCCTGCACTACCCCTGTGCTGGCCCAGGGCCCGGGGGTGGGATTTCAGCTCTTCCTAAGCCTAAAGCTGGGCTTGAACACTTGAACAAGCTGCTGGGTTTACAGCTCCATGGCAGGGGTGTGTGGACTCTGCCCTACACGCAGGCAGCGATAGCAAAGCAGAAAGGGGGTTCATTAGCACCCACTCCCTCTGTGCTAAGCTGACTTGCACTCAGCCTTGAGGTGTATGTGAGCGAGGAAAGGACATTGGGGTCCAAAGCCCGGTGCTGTGGGGGTCAGAAAGCAGTTCTGTGCTGGAGGTGACAGAGGCACAAAGCAGATGCTGGGGAGGGCTGCAGAAACCTTGTTTGAAATCCAAGAGCAGGGAGAGGCTGATGCTCCCGTCACAACCCTGCTGGGAAACAGCACATTTCCCGTGTTTCCCATGGCGTGTAAAGGGCTGGGGGCTCAGTGTGGCCATGGAGAAATGCAGCCAGCAATGCTTGAGAGTACATGCGAGAGCAGAATGGCAGTCAGGAGCAGAAAGATGCTTTAGGGAGGGATATTGCTGTGGGATGAAGGCACAGATGCTGCTGGGTCGATGGGGGGGCACTGGGCAGGGGCCTGGTGTGCTGGGTGATGGTAACTGCAACCAGCAACAGCTTGTGCTGCTGTGGGGCTTGTGTGGGAGCAGGGCTGGAGGCTGCAGCGCTCTGAGCCCTCGCTGGGAGGGAGCCATGGGGGGAATGGCACCAGGAGCTCCTTCAGCAGCGGGGCCAAGTCACCCCTCCTGTTCTTGCCCTTCTGCACTGCCCCATTGGCTCTCCCTGCTGCTCCCCCTGCACTTGCCTGCACTGCAAAAGGGATGATCATGGGATCATAGCCTGGCATCTGCACATCAGCTGAAGCAGCTGGGTCTGACGTGCTCGTAGTGCCTTCATGCAGGCCTGTTCCCTGCTGCGTTACCTGGGAGGTGTCACTCTGGGTACGCAGGAACATGGCAGTAAATGGGAACCAGTGCTCTGCCGGGTGCTGGCTCCAGCACAAACCCTCCTGGGAAAACAGGCTGGGAGCTGAGAGCCTCTGCAGCGCCTGAGCCTCAGGGAGGAGCTGCCCTTGTGCCAGTGTCCAGAGAGGGCCCTGGGAGCTGAGCCAGGCCCTGGGAGACGTCTCAGTGCTTCCCATTCCAGCGTCTGTCCTGAGTGCGCTGCAGCCGATGCTTCCTTGTTCCTTTGGCAGGGATGCAAACCGGAGCCTGCCTTGTGTGTGTCTGCACCCCTTATCTGGTGCCACCGGGAGCAGGCAGCTGGCTCCAGGAGAGCAGGGTGCCGTGTTCCCACTGCTGCCTGCCCTGCGGTCCCTCTATAGCCTCTCCCCAAAGCCAGGCTGAAATGGCCTTCTGCTGAGGCAGCTGTTTGTGTCACAGCTGAGCTTACTTCAGTGATCAATAGCTCTCAATGGATCTTACCCCTCTGGCCAAGTCAGCGTTTCTGTCTTTGCTCTAAACCTGCTCCTAAACCTCTAAATCTCAGCCTGGGGGGGATATGGGTGCATCCCAATCTGCCTGCACCGGACCCTGCTCCTCTCCTTTCCTCTCCTCCTGCCAGCATCACTTCTCTTTGAAGCTAAGCAAGAAGGGCTGGAAGCAAATGGAGCCATCTGACTCCCTTAGGTGCCAGCCCTCTCCTGGCTCTGCCCCAGCAGCTCATTCCCTGTGCTTGCCCCTCTAAGGAGGGCAGTGAGGACCCTCAATGGGATCCTCATGGCGCTGCTGATCCAGCTCCCAGTCCATGGGCTGGCTGTCGGCGGCAGGACCCGTATCCCAGAGAGCCAGGGCTGGACCGCAGGCAGCCCAGAGCAAGGCTCCATGGCTGCCAAGAGGAGAAGGCACCGACCCCCTGGAGCTGGATTTCCAATGGATCCAGGTCAGCAGCCGAGGGCTGGGGCTGCCGCAGGCTCCGGGCTTTGCTGTGCCATGAGCTGCGCGTCCCACAGTACCACAGTATCACAGTATGTTAGAGATTGGAAGGGACCTCAAAAGCTCATCCAGTCCAATCCCCCTGCCGGAGCAGGAACACCTAGATAAGGTTACACAGGAACGTGTCCAGGCGGGTTTTGAATGTCTCCAGAGAAGGAGACTCCACAACCTCCCTGGGCAGCCTGTTCCAGTGTTCCGTCACCCTCACTGAGAAGAAGTTTCTTCTCAAGTTTAAGTGGAACCTCTTGTGTTCCAGTTTGTACCCATTGCCCCTTGTCCTGTCATTGTTTGCCACTGAGAAGAGCCTGGCTCCATCCTCGTGACACTCCCCCTTTATATATTTATATACACTAATAAGGTCACCCCTCAATCTCCTCTTCTCCAAACTATAGAGACCCAGCTCCCTCAGTCTTTCCTCATAAGGGAGATGCTCCACTCCCTTCATCATCTCAGTTGCCCTG